GAGTCTGCACGCTCTGAAACTGATGGAATATATGAAGGACATGGGTCGCGAGGATATCTTTATTCGTTATGTTCATGAACTTGCCGAGGCTCAGGCCGCAGCAGGCAACTTCACTGAAGCAGGTCTTGCTCTTCAGTTCCATGCCGACCTCTACGAATGGGATCTCACCAAGCCTCTGCCGGAGCTGCTCAGGCCCGCATTCCCACCTCAAAGTGCATTCGAACGGAGAGAGGCTTTGTACTTCTCTGTTATCCAGAACTTTGAAAATGCCATGGCCTGGGGCCCCGCGTTGGCTTGCTACAAGGAGCTGGCAGCGCACTACGAGCACACGACGATGGATTTCGCCAAGCTCTCCCGAGCCCAAAGCTCCATGGCTCGAATTTACGACTTCATCGCCAAGGGCGGCAAACAATTCCCGCGATACTTCCGTGTGGCCTACAAGGGTCTCGGATTTCCTCCCGGGCTGCGCGACAAGGAGTTCATCTTCGAGGCGTCCCCGACAGAACGCATGGCCTCTTTCGTGGATCGCATGCAGCGGGAACACCCTACTGCGCAAGTCATGTCTACTGGTGAAATTCCTGACTACGAGGGCCAGTTCCTTCAGATCAGCGCCGTCAGCGCACACCGCGACGTGTCTCATCCTGTCTACCAGCGCCCTAAGGTTCCATCCTCTGTCCGCGAGCACCTACTGATCTCGGATCCATCTCGTTTCTCTGCCACCTCGCGCCGACACACGAGCGGCTCGGATGTCCGTGAGCAATTCGTTGAGAAGCTCGTTTTCACCGTCTCGGAAGCGTTCCCGAATATCCTCCGTCGTAGTGAGATTGTTTCTGCTCAGGAGGTTGCTCTGTCGCCTCTGCAGACTGCCATCGAGCGCACGTGGCGCAAGACACAGGAGCTTCAGCTTCTTTGCCGCCGTGCTGCGTCGGGTGAGGATTCAAGTCTGTCTAATCTGACTGAGGCCCTGGAATCACTTCTTGAGGTCAGATCGCCAACCTCTAACTGTGTGGCATTGTACCGTGTATTCCTATCCGATGCGGAGATGGCAAGGAACAAGTTGCTTGAGGAAATTGATGAAGACGCTGAAGAGATACAACAAACACAGCAGCCTGTGGACCCAATGGAGACTGCGCTCTCCGTTGCACTCATCGACCATGCCTTGGCTATCAAATACGCGCTGTCTCTTTACCAGCGTCCCGCTCAGCAAGCTACCCAAGCCGAACTACTTCGACGCTTTGAAGATGTCTTCGAGCCCGAGCTAGGTTCTCTCGTCCCGGCTGCGGAGTACTCATCACCTACACCCACACAAACAGCCCGCCAATCCTCCCCCTTGGGCGACAACCGCCGAATGCCAGCTATCCAGCGAATTGTCAGTCCGGAACAAGACCAAAGCCGCGCTGCCCGAGGAAATTCCCACACGCGCAAGCGCTCTGACAGACAATCAGTCAGTCACCGGATCAGCATAATCAACCCCTTCAAGCGATCCCACGGCGCCAGCAACTCCATCTTCACGATCCAGCAATCCGACAGCAAGGGCCAAATAGTGGGTGAACAAGACGAAAACATCGACGACGACACGGCCACGATCCACAGCCGCACAACCAGCCACTCCCGCGGCGGCCGAAGCGAGAAGCGTCGCAGCTTCTTTGGCGGCGATAAGACATACAAGCACGGCTCCTCGCCTTCCGTCGCCCATGAATCCCAGACCTCACTGAACGCCCACAATGCCTCCCGAGACACGACCGCACGCTCCACCGACGGCCGCAGTCGCGCTGGCTCCCAGCACCGCGGCCCTACTGCCAGCGGTACTGCCACGGATCGGGCTGCGCCTGCTTCCAGTGGTGGTTGGTCCACCCTTCCGTCCACGCGCGATTATTCGCGGCCTGTCACACGCGACAGTAATGCAGTGACTCTGACGACTACGAATGGCACGGCCCCTTTGTCCCCTGTGCTCAATAATAATAATACGGGGATGCGGGACTCTGTGTTCCGTCGTTTCAGTATGCTCAAGGGTGTTGGTCGCAAGGGCAGTCGGATGGATTTTAAAGCTAATGGTGCCCTTCCGGAGGAGTAATGACGACCCCTTTTTTTTTTGTTTCTTTCTCTTTTTCTTTTTTCGATTCTATCCTTTATACCTCTTTTTTATTTTTTTGTTTTTGTTTTTGTGTCTGTGTCTTGACCCTCCTTTTTTTAAACTTTTTTTTCTTTCACTTCTTGATGTGACTTACTACCCTGATGTACTCTTTGTTTTAACTTTTTTTTTGTTATGTGGACTGGGGTTCTCCTTTTACTGGTGTTAAAAGATATATACCATGTGCTATATAGTTCCAATCTACATAATGCTATTTCCCATCTTAAGATCAACAGTGCTGCCATATATGTACTAAAGTCTAAATCGTCAGCAACCATGGATCTCCGAAACACAATTGTCCGTGCGTCCAATCGTAGAATGTGGCAGTGCATGGTCTTGGCTTTTAAGCTATAACCAATCATAGTGTATAAAACCCTGCTATGTGGAGTACCAAGGCTGGTGGGTCGTCATCTCAAAGCTCGTCTCCCCACTGACTGGGCCACACTTACCTTGGCCACCACCTAACACTCCACTTTTCTCTTCATGCTCCTAACATCGAAGGCTGTGCTAACTTTGATTCCCACGGAAATCTCATGTTACAGTCGCTAAGAACCAAAAAAGTGGCTTAACCCCGCCAATTATCCAATTCTCAACCAGTTTCAAAGCTTGGTAGAAATCATGTGTGCGTTGATATACTCCCCTTCCCCATCCCCTTCTCCCATTCTTCCCATCCGCTCCTTTCCGACTTTCTGTGAAAGTCCCTCAAATCATAATCCATCCGTTCAGGCAACGGACCATAATTCTCCAAACTAACTCGAGAAAAAAATTTTATATTCCAGCTCTCCCAAACTTCCGCTCCAACTTCAGAAGTCACACCTTCGGGCCCCGAAGAATGAGCTCTGGCAACAACGGCACCCTGAACGCCAATGAGCGTACAGGATTACTTGGCGCACACCGTGGCTCCTTCTCTGGCCTCGAACCTCACGAGCACATCGAGCATGGACAGCACCACCACCACCCAAAGGATACCCGTGTGTGGGTGCACTGGCCAATGCACGTCGTCCATCTGACGTGGAAAACCATCGTCCGTGACTATGTCAATGTCCTTCTTATCTTCGTGCCTTTGGGCATCATTTCCGGTGCCCTCGAGTGGAACCCAACCACTGTCTTTATCCTCAATTTCTTTGCTATCGTTCCCCTCGCTTCGCTGCTCAGCTTTGCCACCGAGGAGCTGGCTGCTACGCTCGGCCAAGCCCTTGGTGGCTTGATGAATGCCACTTTTGGAAATGCTGTTGAATTGATTGTAAGCTTGTCCAACCCTCAGCCCCGAATTGATACCCTCAATGCAAGCGGATGATACGTATCGGTGTTGGTTTTGATGCTAATTTTTTTTTTTTTTTTCTTGATAGGTCAGTATCATTGCCCTGAGACAGAACCAGATTCGCGTCGTCCAGGCCAGCATGCTGGGCAGCATCTTGTCTAACATCCTACTCGTCCTGGGCTGCTGCTTCTTCGTCGGTGGTCTCCGCTACCGCGAACAGTCTTTCAACACCACTGTGGCATCAACCATGTCCTCGCTCATGGCTGTGGCCTCCGCATCGCTTATCATCCCTGCCACCCTCTACGCCGCGATCTCGAATCACTCCGTCGCCAAGCCGGACAGTAAAGGTGAAATCCCGGACCCGGATCGCGCTGCCCAGGATAATATCCTCATCTTGTCGCACGGCACCTCCATCATCCTCCTGATCATCTACGTCATGTACCTCTACTTCCAGCTGGGTTCCCACTCCGACCTCTTCGAAGAAACAAATGGCAGTGATACCGAGAATGTTGCTGGCACCGAGGAGGAGGAAGAAGAGGAAGAGGAGCGCGTTCTCAGCCCCTGGGCTGCGGCCGTTGTTCTCGTCATCGTGACTGTCCTCGTCTCGATCTGCGCCGATTACCTGGTCGATGCTATCGATCCCCTCGTAAAGACGACGGGTATGAGCAAGACGTTCATTGGACTGGTTCTGATCCCGATTGTGGGTAATGCCGCGGAACATGTTACTGCCGTTGTCGTTGCGTACAAGGATAAGATGGATCTTGCGATCGGAGTTGCTATTGGTAGCAGCTTGCAGATTGCGCTGTTTGTCACTCCCTTCTTGGTTATTCTCGGCTGGATCATGGGTATCGAGATGACACTCCACTTCCAGACTTTTGAGACCGTTGCTTTCTTTATTTCTGGGTTGGTTGTTACTCTGCTTATCCAAGATGGAAAATCCAACTACCTGGAGGGTGGTATGTGTCTCGGCATGTATATCATTCTTGCCTTGGCGTTCTACGTCTACCCTGATAATGTTGCCAACTAAGCTATGGCTTGGGTTTGGGGTTTTAATTTTCGGTTTGGGAGGGGTTGTCGTCTCAGCGAGGCTGTCTCTTTTGTTCGGTTGGTTCATTCATGCCCTAGCGTCTACCGCTTTTTATTGTATTCTATGTCAAAACTCTTGTCTATAGTACATTGGTAGTCAAAAATTGTATGTGCGGGTATATCTCTATAAGTTTCTTGAAAACTTGTTAAAAAATAGTATTGTGAAAAGCGGAGTTCTTGATGAAATTATATATTGACGTCTTATATTGTGGAAATATATTCATACTAAAAACGACTTGGAATCAACAGAAAATGGATTCTTTTTAACACATTGCATTGGGCAGACAAATCGAAGCTTATTTTACCCCTTTCATCATAATTCAGACTAATTATCCACCTACATCCATGACCCTTCAATCCTGTTTCCATCAGCTGTACATTTCATGACCTCACATCGAAATCCTTGGCGCTGACTCAGCCATCCCGGAAATTTGCTCGAGACCGCAAACTTCCCAAAACAGGCCGATTAATCACGACCCCGGTTCAATAATTGCACAGGGGCCAATTCACACAACCGCAAAAATGGCACCTCGACTCAACCTCTTCACGGCCAACAAGGCCGTCTCGGCCCTGCGCCAATCCACCACTCCCGCACTCTCCTCCCCCCGGAGCATCGCCAGCCCCGTCCGATTCCGCGCCGTCCAGTCACTACCCATTCAGTGCCGATGGAACTCCTCGCGCGATGGCTCAAAGAAGGTCGAGCCCCAGCCTGACCAGCAGACTTTCCCGACTGTCGACCAGCTGCCCGATGTCACCGAGGAGGCCAACGAGATCTCCCGAATTATGGATAAGGAAAAGCGCTGTGATGGTATTCCTTCTACTCCGGAGTTGGATCAGGGGTCGCCTGTTGAGGAGGTGAGCCAGAACTCCTAAGATAACGGCTTGCTGAAGTGCCGCGAGGCCGAATCGCTGGATAGGGTTGTTAACTGTGTTCCGTGGAATAGATCCTCAGTCGCGATAAGGACGCCTTGAAGCACATGCCCAAGGTTATGCGGGACGCATTGAAGAAGTCTGGTGGCTCGCGCTCGTTCTCGACTTCCGCTCGGAGCCTCATGAACGATCTGCAGGGCACTGAGCCTAACAACGAGGCTAACCTTATTCCCAATGTGTCTGGACTCAAGGGTGCTAGTGATGAGGCTGCTGCTGCTCTTGCTAGCATGATTGAGCAGGTGCAAGGTCAGGCTCTTGAGGAGAACCCTGGGCTTAAGTTCGATCCGCCTGCTGTCCCCGAGGACCTGAAGACGTTGAACTTCCGCAAGCGCTACGATACCATGCAGGATCAGTTCACTAAGATGATGATGGAGAGTGGGAAATTGACCAAGGCGCAGAAGGTACGATCTTTTTTTTCCCATTTATGATTGGTGTGGGTGTGGTTGAGAAAATTAACTAATTGAATATTAGAACATGTCCCTCGTTCTGGATCATCTCCGCACCTCCTCTCCTCCCCAGATTAACCCTCGTCGCCGTCTTCTCGGAGCTCCCCCTGCTTCCCAGCTCCCCCTCGACCCCGTTCTCTACCTCACTCTCGTCGTCGACTCCGTGGCGCCTCTCTTCCGAATCCGTCAGCAGAAGGGTATTGCCGGTGGTGGTACTGCCGTGCAGATCCCCCACCCGTTGACTCTGCGCCAGCGCCGCCGTACTGCTATCAAGTGGATTCTTGATGCATCGGATAAGCGACGTGATGCGCTGTTTGCGAACCGTGTTGCGGCTGAGGTGGTGGCCGTCGCTGAGGGTCGTAGCGGTGTCTGGGAGAAGAGGGACCAACAGCACAAGATTGGTATCTCTGGTCGTGCGAACTTGAATACTAACGTTCGTCGCTAAATTAGCCTTTTATCGGCTTGTATTTCTTCTATCTGGGTTTTGGGGTTTGTCTTGTATCTCTGAGCACTTCTGCATATGTACATTTATATAGTCTGGTCAAAAAAAAAATTTGACTTTTATTCTTCATGGACTTATTGCATTCTTCGAGACAGGTACTACACAATGTTAATCTTTGTAATTTGACATATGCCACGGAGTTTTTAATGTGGCATATGATCTCTCGATATCATTCCAAGGTTGCCCATAATAGGTCTGACTTACTCCCCAGTGTTACATTTTCTATTATTGGAGGACCACTGCCCTGAATCAAACTTACTTGCACATCCTGCATATTAATTGCTTCTATAAATTAACCCTATTTTGTTCTCCGTGACGGCTCTCCCAGTGCTTTGTATAGAACATTGTCTGATAGGCCCCCGCCAAGCAGCATGCTTACCTAATATACAGCTTAGCTCGAAGCGCAACTTGTTCTTGGAGTCGGAGAAAAAAAAAAGAAACGTCAATACATTCAATATTTTACTTGTCTACAGTGTCGGAGTAGATTCCAACCAAATACACAATACAAACCCGACCAGTGAAGCGCCCCATTCTATCATTGCCGACTTGACCATCGCCTAGTGCAACCCCAAGCTCCAGCTGACCCGGACTTCTCGACCCTCTTCGCGCCCCCACCCACGATAGAGTCCCCTCCTACGTGCCCCTCGGTCTTGCATCTGTCTCTACTCTTTGGATGACCTAGGCCGACTACCCTCCGGCCCCCTCCCTCGACGGTGGCTCCTACCTCGCACTCCGATTCCATTGAACTTGTCGAGTACAACCCTACCTCCCACCCAGCTCCCACAAGCGCATCTGGCCCCGCTCGCTCAGACCGATATCAAGAAAGCGCTGGACGGTTAGACCCCTCCGCCAACTCGTACCCGCTTGCGGATCTTGATACAGTTGGGGAATCGCAGGAGAAGACATTAGAGTTTGACCAGCCTCAGGGCTCTCGTCTTCGGTTCTGGGCTGAGGCTCTCCGACGTCGCGCTCATAACGCATCGCACGGGAACGTCGATCCTGAATCCAAAGCCAAGATGAAGTTCTCGCATAGTATTCAGTTTAATGCTGTGCCCGATTGGAGCTCGAATTACATTGCGTACAGCAATTTGAAGAAATTGTAAGTTGTCGGTTTCGTTTGGTTCGTGGGCTCGGTGGATATGATTGTGATTGTGATTGTGTGTGTGTGTGTGTGTGTGTGTGTGTGTGTGTGTGTGTGTGTGTGTGTGTGTGTGTGTATACCTGCAGATTCAGGGATCTAGATTGGTGTCACATTGCACAGGATCGATGCGTCGGGTCGGATAATTGTTTAAATGGGTGCTGACGTTGCATCTTGACTAGGATCTATACCCTTGAGAAACAGTTCAATCGCATTGAGGGACCGGCTACTACAGATGTAGAGTCCGCTCCACTCCTCGGTGCTGAACCGAGTAACCCGGATGCGGTCTTTAAACGGGCTCTTGATGTTGAGATGGATAAGATCTGCTCCTTCTATAAGAAGAAGGAAGCGGAGATTTTTGAACTCGCGGATGAGCTCATTAAAGATGCCGATGTATATCTCTCCGAGACGGACGGTGTCAATATGGACCCCGTCAGCGAGACAATCATCAAGGCAAGCTCCCGCCGCAACGGTAATACCTCGATCTCGCGTCGGCGGTCTAGTGCTGTGAGCAATGACTCGCTGGCGGATGACGAAGAAGGTGGTGATAGTGACGACGACCGGTCCCCGACGACCCTCCCACAGCGTCGGAGAGTGTTGCAGTCGACCGATGGCGAGTCTGCTACAGATGACCAGTACGGTGATATGGTAGACTCTACCTACTTTGGACAGTCGACTACCCGTGAACCGCACGAGTCGCATCTCAACGACGAGGATTTCCTCGCTCTTTACAACACCGGTGTATCGTTGAAGAAGCGCCTGATCGAATGCTACGTCTCGCTTTGTGAACTGCGCTCTTTCATCGAACTGAACAAGACTGGTTTCGCCAAAGCTCTGAAGAAGTATGACAAGACCTTGGACCGCAGTCTGCGTCGAGACTACCTAGCCTCTGTTGTCCACCCCGCGCCTCCTTTCACTGACAGCACCATGGCTGAACTCGATCGGCATATCGAGAATGTCGAGTGTGTGTATGCGAGTATCGTTACAAAGAACAACAGACAATTTGCTAGACGCGAGTTGCGTCTACATCTGCGTGAGCATGTTGTCTGGGAGCGAAACACTGTTTGGCGTGAGATGATCGAGATCGAACGTCGTGCGCAGGCCGCCAATGTTGGTATTCGCCAGACCCTTCTGGGCGGCGATGAGGACCCGGCCACTGCAAGGCGCCAGGGCGACAAGAATGAGATCCGCACACAGGAGATGTCAACACCGCTTGGTCGGTTCCAGTTCCCGTCGTGGCTCTGCAGCTTGAGCTTTGGTACGCTGGTATTTAGTATCGCTCTCTTCGGCGCAATGCTTTCCGTGAACGTGATGGAGACTCCCGAGGAGCAGAATTGCTTGGCTATGTTGGTCCTCGTCAGTATCTTGTGGGCTACTGAGGTATGAGATATCATTTGTTTCTTTCGCCCACATTAAATGCTAACATTGAGTAATAGGCTATTCCCCTGTTTGTCACTTCGCTTCTTATCCCATTCCTGGTCGTGACTCTAGGTATCATGCGGTCAGACGATGAGGTTCCTGTGCGGTTGGGACCCAAGGAATCAGTCGGCAAGGTGTTCGCGGCGATGTGGACTCCTGTCATTATGCTGCTCCTAGGTGGTTTCTCAATTGCAGCAGCGCTGTCCAAGTACGATATCGCACGACGCATGGCCATGTTCGTGCTAAGCAAAGCTGGATCGAAGCCATCTGTGATGCTGTTGACCAACATGTTTGTGAGCATGTTCCTGAGCATGTGGATCAGTAATGTTGCGTCTCCCGTGCTCTGCTACTCGATCATCCAGCCTTTGCTGCGCAACATGCCTCCCGAGTCGGACTTCGCCAAGGCACTCGTGTTGGGTATCGCATTAGCCGCCAATGTCGGTGGTGCAGCGTCCCCGATTGCCTCTCCCCAGAACATCATTGCTTTGCAGAACATGGAACCGAACATCAGCTGGGGTACATGGTTCTTCATCGCACTGCCCGTCTGTATCATCTCCATTCTCCTCATCTGGGTTCTGCTGCTGGTGACATTCCGTCCGGGCCGCAACGCAACCGTCATACCTATCCGCCCTGTCAAGGACCGCTGGACCGGCATGCAGTCCTTCATCAGCATCGTCACCCTCTTGACGATCGTCCTCTGGTGCGCCAGCCACCAACTCGAACACATCTTCGGCGATATGGGCGTTATCGCTATCATCCCTCTCGTCCTCTTCTTCGGAACCGGTATCCTCAACAAAGAGGACTTCAACAACTTCCTCTGGACAATCATCATCCTCGCCGCCGGTGGTCTGTGTCTCGGCAAGGCGGTCACCTCATCCGGCTTGCTGCACACAATCGCACTGGGAATCACCGCCCGCGTCGAGAACCTCAGTCTGTACAGCGTCCTCTTGGTCTTCTGTTCTCTCATCCTTGTCATGGCCACTTTCATCTCGCACACCGTCGCCGCCCTTATCATCCTGCCCCTTGTCCGCCAGATCGGCGTTAGCATGGAGAACCCTCACCCTAACTTGTTGGTCATGGCCAGTGCATTGATGTGCTCTGTTGCGATGGGTTTGCCCACAAGTGGATTCCCTAATATGAGTATGTCCTTCTCTTCCTTCGCTTCACTTGTATTGAGCTCCCCGCTAACTTGTTCCTCTTAGCTGCTATCATGACCGAAGTACCCCAGACAGGCCAGCGCTACCTCCAAGTCCGCCATTTCCTCACCCGCGGCATCCCAGCCAGTCTCATGTCCTTTGTGGTAGTTGTCACACTTGGATATGGGCTGATGTATGTTGCGGGATTGTAGAGTATGGTATGGTGGGATGGTCTCGTGACCCTTTTGAAAGAGTTTGCTGTCTGCAATTTGTAGTTTTTTATTGGTTAGATCGGTTTATATACTCGGCATAAACAAAGGGAGGAGAACTTATATGGTTTGGGTATACTACCTATTCTTTTCTTCTTTTGTTAATGTTATTTGGATTCATTGTATTTAAATTTCTTCGCTTCGTTCTGTCTGGCTTTTTGTTGGGATTGTATTGCACATAGATGGGTCGTCCAGAGTGTCTTAATGCACATGTCTTTCTAATGGCTTTAATCAGGTATGAGAGTAATTACACCTGTCCGACTTCCCTTTTTCAAGAAATATGGACGCCTGGATGATGTCCGATATTGTTCGTTGCTAGGTATGGGGAATCTCCTCTTTACTATGTAGATACTTCTTTTAATCTATGTATCATAATGAAGAGAAAATAATAACACCAAAGCCTAGTTCATTATCCCAATTCTCCAGACCCAGATACTTTATAGGACTAAAGGCTAAAGGTACTGTACACCGCAAAGACACCACAGTCGAAGCTAGATCTAGGGAGATGACCTCGCTGCAGACAAGAAAGACCAAAAAAAAAGGAAATAGACATGAAAAACGAATAATAAAGTAAAAAAAGAAATCAACCCATGCATCGTGCATCACCGTAACATAACCCATAAACAAGTCATTGAAGGTATCCGTAGACACACCCGATACACCCGTACAACAGGTCCCGGGTGTTCATCGAGATGAAATAGGACAAGCAGATATAGAAATGAGATAATATACTCTTTTCTATTTTCTGAGCGACAAGATTAATTACTAGATCGTCAGTCAGTGAAAATGCACCAACAGTAATAGTCGAGTCAAGTTAGAGCCACGGGGAAGGAAGAAGAAAGGTTAGGGTTTAGATGTGACGGTGCACAGGAATATGTAGAAGAAAAAAGAAAGAAAGAAAGAAAAGGGGAAACACTCACAGCAAACCAATCGTCAAATCACCATGAATCTTCGCCTTAAGTTGAACCTCAATATCCAGATTCAAGTCCAACCGTAAACGAAGCTGCTCATCCCGACCACCATCTTCTTCCTCTTTTTTCTCTCCGCCACCGAGGATCCCGCCAACGGCCTTGCCCGCACTACCAGTCACCCCGTTCAGGGCATTCCCGGCTGTGTTCTGCACGAGCTGGCCGGCCTGGTCGACGCCACCAACGCCCGGAAGTCCACCGAGCGGACTGCCGTTTTGTTGTTGGGGCTGGCGTTGGCGACGGACGCGACGCTGGGGTCTGGGCTCTGGTTCCATTTCGCTGCGGGCGATGGACTCAGTATCTGATTCTTGGGGGCGGGGACGAGGGTCTGCGACGACGACGTTCGGGCTTGGGTTGGGGTTCTGGTTCGGGTTCGGGCTCGGCTTCTTCTTCCTCTTCTTGTTGTTCTGGCTCTGGCTCAGGTTCTGAGTCTGGTTCTTGTTGTTTGACGGGTTCTTCGGGTTGTTTGTCCTGGTCTTGTTCCGAGGATGGAGGGGTTTGTTCTTGCTTGGCGGGAGATTTCTTGCCTAGCTTGGGAGGGGCACGTTTTGGTTTGTTTGGGGTTGTGTTTGTTGAGTCGGGAGTAGGGGTGGGAGGTTGTTCTTGATCGGACATGTTGGAAATAAAAGAAGAAGGTTGTTAAGGGGGGGAAATGAGGGGAATATGAATTGAATTCGAGAATGAGATATGGAAGGACAATGCGTCAGAAACGGGATAAATGAAGTACTATGTAATCGTGCGTATAGTGTAATGATGTAGATTGTCTAACCCGTTTATATCATCAGAGGAGCCACTAGGCTTGGATAAAACCGGGCCTCGTAAATAAAATCTAACCGCCTCCGACGTCAGATTGGAATGATGTGGTTTTGGGATCCATAAGTACCAGATGTTGGGCCAAGACCCTCTCTCGGTACATGTAAGTCAATGGGTACTGCATGACGGGCTGGGGAAATCCTATGGAAAAGGTATGACGTCTCGGACAAGGATCAAGACGTGGAGAGTATGGAGCAAAAGGTTGTATAACGTCGGAAAATAATAGTGGCCACCGAGATTCATGCGCCAATCAGAGGGAATATCGGTGAATTTGGTGCATTGACGATCTCCACTGAAATAGACGAAATAGATTAAGTAGACGTAAGGCCTCGGAAATGATATGACGACACTCAACGTCAAGGTCTTCATAGTTAAAAAAAGAGTCAGAGAAAAAAATAAGCCAATGATATTCACCGGGCACTTTTTTTTCTTGTTCCTGGTTTTTGTTCCATTGGTTCAGGCCACGAGTCTGTTGTTTCCACGGATTGGGATGGAATCAGGCGGGTATACAATTGGCCACTTAGAGGGTTTCCGGATATTTGCCGTGGAGTTTTCACTGTGGACACGGCCATTGTGACAGGTCTAGCCAGATGTTGTCTGACAATGACGGTGCAGGTTGGAGAGAAGTGGGAGAGAAGTTGGAGAGGAACAGCCTCCAACGTCATGTCCGTTGATATGATGTCTGTGCCATTTGCCCTTCCACGTTGTATCATATCATATCGTCCCTTTCTTTCCTTTTTGGTTTATGTTAAGGATATCCTTCTACTTTTTTTTATATATCTTTTTCTTTTTTGAAATCATCTTCATTCTACCTCTATATTCTATACTCCATAATCTAGTCCCATCTCATCCATCACATCCATCATGGCGACCGTTGAAAAGACCAAACAACAACCCAAGAAGCTCCCCATCCAAGAGGACCTCTCCGACGGTGAAGACTATGACAGCGCCGATGACTATACCGACGAGGAGTATGAGGAGGAAGTACCACAAACCAAGACCCAAAAGGGAAAACAGCTCCAGAAGAAACCCCTACAGAAACAGAAACAACCCGTTCAACAATACGATGATGACGAATACACGGACGGATCAGAGTATGACGAGTACGAATACTCCGATGACGATGAAGCCGTGCAGCCCTACTCAAATGAAAATTCAGACTTCAGGCCCAACGGAGGCATGGATGTCCTTCACAAGGAGGAAAAGTCAATGCTGGATGAGGAAGGCATGAAGTTAAGATTGGAACTGAATCTGGAAATCGAGGTCGAGCTCAAGGCACGCATCCACGGTGACCTCACCCTAGCTCTCATGTAAGTAATAACTGAGGCATGCAATCCCTCCCCCCAGACCCCGTGAAGAATGTCTGCTCAAAGACCGAATTAGGAGTTGATCGCTTTCTATCAACAACAGGGCTTGATCACCCAATTACCCATTCTGGTTCCATTGCCAATGTCACGAAGATCCGACGTCGTTACGAGTGATCCTGTTTTCAATGCTTCAATTGCTTCGATGCTTTTCATAGAGCCATGTTTCCATTTGTTCGGGATCTTTTTCTTTTTCTGCAATGGTTTTCCTGGTCGGCGTGCAGGGCCAAGGGGATGCAATACACCGGAGTGTATACTGCTATGTATATTCCTTGGGCAATCACTCGAATGGAGTTGAATTCATTTTCTTGCAGCAGTGCAGAAGTAGCAGTGCGGAAGTAACAGGGCAGAAGCAATAGTACAGAAATGTAATGGTGTAGTAGTGTATTAGTGTGGTGTGATGAGCGTAAAAGTGTCATGGCGGGAACTGTGAAGCCGAGGCCGGGGTCTTGGCGCTGATTTTCGACCCGCTGTGTTACCAACTCCCCTCTTACATTGTACATCGTTACTTGGTATTATTCTGTACTCAGTTCATTTTCCAATTGTCTCACTTCTTTCTCCCAATCCAATTGACACTGTACACATCTCTCTCACCCAATACAACCGCCACTATGTCGTCCAAAGACTTCATCATCAAGCACATGAACGCCGATCACCAAGACTCTCTCGGACTATTCCTACAAGCTTACTGCGGTATCACATCCACCCAGGCCAAAGACGCCCATCTGGAAGAACTCAGCACCTCGAACCTGATCATCACCGCTCACGGTACCCGCTACAGCGTCCCCATCGAACCCCCGATGAAGAATTACTCCGAGGCACGCAGCCGAATGGTCGCCATGCACAAGGAGAGTCTAAAGCGTCTAGGCCGCAGCGAAATCACACTTACAGAGTACCGTGCCCCGCGCGGCATCCATGCCGTGATCTTTGTGCTGTGTTTGTTGTTCTACGTCACCTGCTTCCTGCGCAGCAACCTGCAACCCGGTTCCGATCTCTACGAGTACTTGGGGCTCCAGCGTGTGCCCTGGTTTCCGCGTCTTATCTGCATTACCCAGCCGCTTGTCGTGGCTATTCATATCATTGAGACCATCGCGCTGGTTGTGACTCAATTGAAACCACTGAATGTGCCTGTTCTGTCGGGTTTGTGGTGGAAGTGGGTTGCATCGTGTTTCGTTGAGGGGTATGGTTCGTTCGCACGCATTAAGCAGTTTGTGAAGGAGCAGAAGGCGAAGAACGGAAAGAGCCAGTAGAGGGTAGTAGCATGGGCAGTCAATGGTGACATGTGCAATCACTAGCGGAGAAAGTCGCTCATTTGTATTTATATGGATTTTGGGATTGCCAGGATAACTGGGAATTGACAAAATTGAAGATTCAATGCTGTACAACGTTAGTATGTAAATGGCTTGAAAATGGTTAGATTGGAGTTGATGGCTCCTTCCTAAGGTCCAGATCATGAATTACAGTTTGTAGCACGTGACTATATACTGAGTCAGCCACTATACATCACCTGACTGATCCAGTGACCGATCCAGTGACTGGGGCCACTAATCCCAATCTGGCCTAGTGTCGGTTAGGGCACTACACAAGCGAGCGACACAGTGCGCCCTGCGAAATTCAGCGACTCCACGACCTCAAACTCCCACGACAACCCTACGACAACTAATCTGTGTTTCTGGTGAAGGGCTGCACATTTAGAGGTGAGTTATCCGGCTATCTCAACTCCTGCAAGGTTTCTTTCGAAAAATTCTGTTTCGCTCGCTGCGCCCATCAATTTCGATCATCGGTATTCAATTCCTCCACATTCAACTTTCGATCCTGTCTCGCTTTCAACGGTCATCCAACCACTCCGCAACTACTGTCGCCCAACTGTTCGATATTGGAAGATTGATTTTGTACGGCGCTCGCGACGAAACAGAAGGATTGAAAGGAATTTTTAAAAAAAAGAAAAACTTGTTAAAGGTCCACAAATCAACAACATCTAACTTGTGTCCGTCGACTTAGACCCCTCCATCAATCGCAAACATGGGTATTTCTCGGGATTCTCGCCACAAGCGCAGCGCCACCGGTGCCAAGCGCTCTCACTACCGCAAGAAGAGGTACGATTCTATCAACCCAGCATGAGGTCGAATATTTCTTTCATTTGGAGGAAAAGAAAAAAAGAGGATTCGATATACCAGTTACAGATTCTTACATGTCTTTGTTCTACAGAGCCTTCGAGAAGGGTCGTCAGCCCGCCAACACCCGTATTGGCACCAAGCGCATCCACCTTGTCCGCACCCGTGGTGGTAACCAGAAGTTCCGTGGTCTCCGTCTCGACTCCGGTAACTTCTCGTGGGGCTCCGAGGGTATCTCCCGCAAGACCCGTGTCATTGGAGTGTCCTTCCACCCCTCCAACAACGAGCTGGTCCGCACAAACACCCTGACCAAGTCGGCCGTTGTCCAGATTGACGCTGCCCCCTTCCGTCAGTGGTACGAGGCCCACTACGGTCAGCCCATCGGCCGTAGACGCCAGCAAAAGACCGAGGCTACCGAGGACAAGAAGTCCGCCTCCGTCGCCAAGAAGCAGGCTGCCCGCTTCGCCGACTCCGGTAAGACTGAGTCTGCTATCGAGCGCCAGTTCGAGTCCGGTCGTCTCTTCGCCGTTGTCGCCTCGCGCCCCGGCCAGTCCGGCCGCTGTGACGGTTACATTCTGGAGGGTGAGGAGCTTGCTTTCTACCAGAAGGCTATCCGCAAGTAAACGAAAAAATAAAATATTCGGTTGTTGCAACGGGTGGATCGGAGTTTCAGCTATGTCATGATCAGAGCATCCACAGGATGCAATTTGTCTGTAGAGCTCTGAGCCGTCAAATCCATGGGAATTGTTCCTAGTTTCATCTCTTCGTTGATAGTTGGCATTCCTTGTGTAGTGAGCATGTGTAGTGAGTATACAACTGTCGAGTATCGTGACACATTGGTATAGTATCTTGTCGAGAATCTGCGATGTGATGTCCTTGGACTTAGGTACAGGTGATCAACATACAAGTACTGTGTACATAGATTGATGTTTTAATTTATTCTTTTCTAAAACTCATCAGTGCACCTTTTATCAAATGTAGATACTTGAAACATAGAAGGGAGGTATAGGAAAGAGGACAATCTCCGGGGGTCCCTCCTGGGCCCGAGCTCGATGCTTATCCATCTCTCCCCCGCAGCCCAATCTTCTCTCAAACAACCAAACAACCAACATGACGACCATCAAAACCCGCATCTGCATGATATCAGACACACATACAGCCTCTCCACACCCACCTCAAAAAACAGACAATGCCTATCGCTACCCCCTCCCAAAAGCAAACATCCTCCTCCACGCCGGCGACCTCACGAAAGTGGGGTACCGCGTCGAGCACGAAGCAATGATCGCCATGCTCACCGACGCCGACGCAGAACTCAAGCTCGTAATAGCAGGAAACCACGACATAACCCTAGACGAAGAATACTTCACAACCTTCGGGTACAAACGCCACAAACGCCCAGAGAAACTAGGCAAAGAATCCATCCTGCTCTCAGACGATAACCTCCAAACAACCCTACGCACCTCCTCAACCGACAATCCAAACACAGATTCCCTAAAAGCCTACGTCCGCTCCATAAAGTCACTCTGGACGAGCGATGCCGCCCGAAATGCAGGAATCATATATCTAGAAGAAGGAATCCATTCCTTCACACTCTCAACGGGCGCAACATTCACCCTCTACGCTTCCCCATACCAACCGGAATTCTATAACTGGGCTTTCCCATACACCCGCGATCAAGATAGATATAACCCCGCTCCCGATGCACAAACACAACCTCAAAATCCAATCCCGGATTACCCGGCCATCGACATCCTCCTAACCCACGGCCCGCCTGCCGGAGTCCTGGATCAGGTCCCGCCTGATATGAATGTTGGATGTGAACATCTCCTCCGTGCAGCGCGGCGCGCAAAGCCGCGACTACATCTCTTCGGTCATATTCATGAAGGGTGGGGCGCGCAGCGTGGGGTGTGGGATGATGAGGGCGGCGGTGGTGGTGTTAAGCTTGAAGATGTGCCGACGGATGCGGAGGAGATGCTGGAAAATCGGGGTGCGTTCTATGATGTTAGTGCTGAGGCGGAGCGACCGCTGCGGGTTGGGGAGGAGACGCTTTTTGTTAATGGGAGTATTATGACGGTTAATTATCAGGCGAGGAATGCGCCGTGGGTGGTGGATTTGGAGCTTCCTGTTTCTGAGAGATAGATCATTATTCGGTGACTGTAAATAAATTACTGGACTATAGTAGGAGGTTAGTGCTGGTACTTGGAAAATAAGAGGGGGAGATAGAGAGACTGACTGGGTTGTATCCAGATATATATCTACCAAGGGTTAGGACGAAAATGTATGCACACAAGAAGTATCAAAGAAAAATTACTTTTACGAACAAGAAAAGTCAGCCCAAGTTATATGATTGAGAGAGTAATAATACCTATCTAATCATTGTCATTCAGTTCTATATACACGCAGTACAGCACAAGAAATAGCTACGAAGAAAACCCTCTGAACCACCACAGTAGGACCACCCGAGAAACAGGACAAAAACAGAAACAGAAACAAATAAAAACCAAATCATAAGGCCAAAAGAAATAAACATAAGCAAATTAACCCGAAACCCCATATCCCTAAGAAATAGCTCCTGAATCCCCCCTTAAGGAGCACCACCAAGACCTAGAATATTCGTTAGCTTCCAGAAAGACATCATACTCTAGACGCAAGAGACTCACCAGCAGCAAACGCCAGGTACCAAGTACGCGAAGCGCCACCATCAATCCAGCTGTAGTCGAAGTTCGGCTGTGTAAAGAATTCCCACGACGCTTTGGGATCGACGAGGGCTAGATTGGCGTAGAGCACACCCCTCCATCCACCCTCGACCTTGGAAGCCGGGGTCGAGGCATTTTCA